CAGGAAAAGTAGGTGTTGCACAATAACCTGAAAATAGAATTTACTTACCATTGTGGTAATATATTAGCATGTTGCGGCATATTTGAGTGTGGAGGTAAATATTCTGGTAGCATATTAGTTTGCTGTGGTATACGTGTGGAAGTAAATAACACGATAATATACTGTAAAACATGTTGAAAAAGCAGCATGCAATTTTAGCGAATTGTGGTAAAGTGACGTAATAGCGAAATCTTGATTTAGCAAATCTCTCTTGTCATTGTTGATTTCTTTGTTTGGCAGCCATTTTGAATTGACAATGAAGTCATTAGCAACATCTTGAATTAGCAAATCAGTTCTCTCGCTAAATTTGCGAAAAAGACATGCTCGTGAAAAAAACATGTTTTACAGTATTTGTGTATGTTGTGACATTTGAGTGTAAAAGCTTATGGGAGGAGCATTTTCGTATGTTATGACATATTTAAGTGTGCAGGTACATGTAAATATTGTCAAAGTGGTAACATATTTGTATATATATAACAACCTTTATTGATATTGTATCCCCTCTGGGATCTAGATTAGAATACAATAAGGATATAAGGAACAATAAAATACATAAGGAATAATAATAATAATAAAAAAGAAATAGTAAAATAAATAGTAATACTGTGAAAATATTATTATATAAATATTTTTTGGTGTTATTTTGAACCAGCTGGTAAATTGCTTTTCATGAAGTTCTCTCTTTTAGTGATACAGTCGCTGATAAACTTGGCAATTGCTTGGACAGTTTCAGAATTGAATAGTGCTTTCAGATTACAGGATAAGTTTAAGTTTTCAAACAAAGCATCTCTTTCAGATTTGTACAGGTTACAATTGAAGAGGAAGTGTTCTTTTGTATGTTGTGGCATATTTGAGTGTGGAGGTAAATATTGTGGGAACATATTTGTATGTTGTGGCATATTTGAGTGTGGAGTCAACCTACGAAAACCCAAACCACACTAAACTGCCGGAACAAACCCCAGTTTAGCAGTTTGGAAGTCTGAACAATAGACAGTGCAGTTCAGAACGACCGCACGAATTTCAAAAAAACTGCGATTCAAACCGATCTTGATCACACCTTCAAAGCTGTTGTTTATTTTTAGGATTGACAGAGTTGTCTCTAAAATGTGTCGATTTATTTGTGTGCAAGCTTCTTTTTACAGTGCGTCTTGCCTAAAAAACCACTCTGCCAAATACCGATGAACAGAGTGCTGAAAGAGTTCTGAATATATTGTTTTGTTTTTATAAACTGTTACGCTTGAGTCGCAAATTGAGCAGAGGACATGAATCAGAAGGTGACCATTTGTTGATACAAAGTTGCACTTGAGACTTGCACTACTGTGTTCATGCCATTACCAGCGTTACTACTGTTGCGTATTCAATTTTCAAACAATTCTTTCTGGTCTTGACTAATCAACGTAAAGATAACTCAATCCCAAAAACAACAGCTTGAAGGATGTGAACAAAGTCGGTTTGAACTGCTGGTTTTATGCAAATTTGTGCGGTCATTCTGGGATGCAATGTCCATTGTCTATACTCTGAAACTGAAAAATTGGGTTTTATGTGGGTGGTTTGGGTTAACCAAGGTTTGACCCAAGTGTTTGAATATGAGATCACCACTTAGTATTGTAATAAAAGCTTTTTCAAATATTCTTGATACCAACAATTAAAATAATTCAGACATACATTTTTGTAAGTATGTCACACTTACCTGATGGTACACACTCTGGTATATTATCGCTCCACCTATAACCTGAGTCGCATGCTTCGATATTGCATATTATAGCAGATGGTCCAACTAAATCAAATCCAGGGTCACATGTAAAGTTCAGTATTTGTAGAAACGCAGCTGGGTACTCAATATCTGGGAATATTGTACCATTCGCCAGGTTGCCAGGATTGCTACATATGATCTTACCACCTAAAGCAAATCAAACGATCTCAAGGTCAAAAGAAATCTACAGAAATAGTGACATTATTGTGGCACAAACATCAAGTATTTGTTACAATCTCAATCCATCAGTCTAATCAGTGCTTGGTTATTTCTGTAAATCAGCTGCATAAAATGTCCCAATCTCCTAACAATTGATAATTATAATTAAAATTCTGATTGACCAAATAGATATTAATATTTGAGAAGAACATTGATGATTAATTTCAAATAAAGTTTACTTTCATCCAAAAGAAAGAGAAATCAAAGAAAGCTTAAAAAGCACTATCATGTCTGAAGTCCAAATATAGAATACTGCTACAATATTAACTATATTAGAAGCATATCTTCAATACACATAAAGGAAAAATGGTGTTTATTGTTTTGACTGTGCTCCAACAGACTCTAATAACTTTAACTTCGTAAATATATCTTGTCATATACATGTATCTTGTCAGACAATACAAAAATTTGTTCAGCAATTCTTTTTTAACTCACAGAATGCTTGCAAATAAAAGCACATATAGTTCATACAAGGGATTTATCAAGATTGATTGACCCTGATTCCCTACCAAAATTTGATGAAAGTATGGCTACTAGTAAACATATTTGTTGATAGCAATACAATAAACATGTCTTCATTCACTGTAAGATCACGCTATATGGGTGAAATCAAGGGTCACAGCGCTATAGTCTATTAACATTTTCATCACCAGCTCTCTTGACAAATTTTTCTGCACTTTTTTCTTATATTCTTCAATATTTCTGGAAAAGAACGC